AATTTTTTTAGGGGTTGGGGGCTGGTAGGGTGGGTGGGGGATGGTAGGGGATGGGGTGATGACTAAGGAGAGGTTGGAAGAGAATTTTGGAAAATGTTTTCCTTAAATTTTAAATGTAAGTCATTTTTAAAAAAAAATTAAGAAAAATGAGTTGATCTGAAAAACATTTGACCCAACTAAACATGAAAAAATTAAAAAATATATTCGTTTATACCAAACACAGCATGAATCTTATCTTTTTGTTACTTTTTATTGATGACATATATGTGTCAAAATAAAGTTCATTAGCAAATAACATTTCATTTTTCAATTTGATACATTGGTAAGAGAAGCATTGCACAAATATAATGTTTAAAAAAATGCAAGAAAAATAAGGTCACAAATTTATGACATTTAGATTTATCATACAAGCAAATAAACTTATATATATATATATATATATATATAATAATACAATTCCTTGTGTTTGATGCATTTACATGAATTATATAAATAATTTATCTCTTTTGTTCATCCCTTTCATTCTTTTATAAATAAATGTAATTGATAAAATCAATCACAATTTTATTTTATTTTGTGTATAATTTTTTTGTTTCGTACGTCGACTCAATTAGTGTACAGTGTACACCAACAGGCAAATGCGAGAGCCAGCTCTGTGAAGTTTTGATTTTAGAAAAAAAACTTTTATTTAGTTCTAATAAATTGTTTATATGCATTAAATGAATTTTTCAATACGAATATAGAGTATAAATTAAAATCAAAGAAAGTGACTGAATTATAAATAGAGTTATAATACCAAAGAAATGTGCTTAACAGATTTCAACCGGAGATAGAAATTAATATATAATAAAATATATGTATTTTGATATCTGTTACATCATACTAATAACATGACTATATAATTCTGTTCACAAGGCTAAAAGATAGGAAATATAACGAGTCTCGTTATTTTTAAGGTACTTTATTTGATAGGAGTTTACACCCTTGAATATTTTACTCATATATATTTTGATACTTGCGGTGTCCAAGTCGATTTTATGTGTGTCTTGACTAATTTCATGAAATATATATTTCCTTATACAATAATAAGTATTAGATAACTCTATTCACAAGGCTAGAAAATGATAAAAAAAAAAATTAAAGATAACGTGATTTTTGGCAACTTTATTTATGAATAAGTCACATTCTAAAATATTTTATATATAAAATTTTATAACTAAATAAAAATAAAATAACTTATATGCCTTAAGTGCGAGAAAGTTACTAATATTAATTGAAATATCCTATTAAGTAATCATAGAGAATATAATGCATTTTCATAATATAAATGGTGCAAGTGTTTATATTTTAATATATAAGAGATATATTTAGAAATTAGTTTATATTAGAGGTATATAAATCTTTAATCTCATAGGATACCTATAATCAAAGATAAAGTTGAGACTTTGATTTGATTGCTATAAATAATATTTTGATATTTGAACAATTGTTCCTTCCAATACATTTTAATTTGCTAACCTAGTAATCCAAAATTAAGAAAATTGTATTAGGAAAAAATTTAGAAAATAATTGGTAACCAGTGTTTGTCATATAACTGGTTATTTCAAGTTCCCAAGTTCTCGAAAAACATAAAATTTGAGTAAGATTTTAGTATTAGAGAATTTTTTAAAAAAAAATAATCCTAAATTTTTATATTTTATAGGCAAAATACATAATATCCTTTCTGAACTTAGCACGAAAATTCACTTTAGTACTTAAACTATACGGGTGTTTATATACCCCCTTAACATGTTTGATGTGAATTATTTTTAACCTTCCGAGCTCCAGCCCAGTTGAAGGCTAGACATTGTTACACACGCTCGTTTTTAGTTGTCCACGTCGCCTAAGGATTTAAAAAATATCTTACCTGTCACGACCCAAAACGAGTCGTGAGTGGCACCCACCCTTAACCTACTAGGTGAGCGAACCAACAATTCTAAACCCCAACATTCACCAATAGTTCAACTATGAATAACAAAATATAATGCGGAAGATCCAAAACTTATTAATGTAACCAACTAAATAGGCTTCTAAAGTTTATCAATTTTTATCCCCAAAATCTGGAAGTCATCACATCAAGAACATTTATCCTCAAATTACCAAATCTAAGAGTATTTAAGAAAACGAAACAAGTAAAAAGATGGTCCATGTTTGAAATTCGAAGACATCAAGACGTGAAGGAGAGAATCCAACACGAGCTAGGAACAATAGCTCACCCCGAACTCTGAGGTGCTGAAGACTTGCTAGAGCTGAGGGCGAGTCGAAGTCGATGGCACGCTTGCTGCACTCCACAAAATGACAAGGAAGAAAATACAAGTAGGAGTCAGTACAAGGAACACGTACTGAGTAAGTATCATCGGCCAAATCAAAATAGAAAACAATATATATACTGAATAATAATATAAAATCAACTACAATACTTAACAGGTGACAAACAACAATCACATGAACCATTGACAACAACACCATAATAAGTACACCATCAATCACCATATTAGCACACCTAAGAGGACTCATGCCTCCACTCCATACTCATTTGGGAATTAGCATCTTTGAATTTGAGTATATTAAGATAATTCATGATTTCTTTCCTTTAATGTTATTGTGCCGGAACGTGACACTCCGATCCCATATACCGTGTCGAAATGTGACACTCCGATCCCATATGCTGTGTCAGAACGTGACACTCCGATCCAAGAATACCGTGTCGGAACGTGACACTCTGATCCAAGAATCTCATTATTTTATTTCAGTAAGCCTACTTTATTCAAGGCGTTAGTTTAATAGAGAGTTTTCAAGATTAGAAATCCAATAGTCTCCTTATATTAGACCAACCACAAACTACACAACCAAACATTCAGCCACACAATCAAGTATATAGGAGATTTTATAACATCACTCAATACATATCGATCGCTATTAAGAGTTTATCTATCACATAGAATTAAACCATAACCTACCTCCACCGAAGAACCGAAACCAAGCAAGCTACCTCTCCAATGCCTTTACCTTCCTCAGTGCCTATGAATCTTCTCGATCTGAAGTCTAAGTCGCTTGCTTTCTTCTTTCTTTCCCTCTCTCTCGCTCGTCCTCCACTTCTATTCTTTTTATTTGTTCTTCTACAGATTCTTTTTATCCTAATTATCATATAATCGATTATGATAAAGTAACCCACTATTTATCTCCCTACTATCTACTTTAACCCCCAACTAAATAAATTATTAAACTTACCCCACTAATTTCATAATTATAAACATGAATAGTCCGTAACAACCCTAAAAAAATTTAGCGAAAGTCTGACACCGTGTGAGGTTACGCAGATTGTGACGGTCCGTCGTACCTGTGACGGTCCGTCCTGCAGGTCCGTCACGAAGTTCAGAGAATTAGTCCCAGTACTCAGATTCCAAGAGTTGAAGTGTTTTGAAACGAAGACGCTCGACGGACCGTTGTGCCTATGACGGTTCGTCATACTTGCCGTCGAGGGTAGTGAAGGGAGCAGCAGGAGATATTTCACAAGTATGGGACGACGGAGTCCATGACGGTCAGTCGTGACCATGACGATCCATCGCATGGTCCGTCGACCCAGTAAGTATTTACCAGAAATAATTTTACTGCTCAAACTGACTAAATGGGTTGTTACATTACCCGTTTCAAAAATACAACCCGACCCACTTATTAACAAATATCTCTAAATCTTTATGATCCGTTCCCAAATACAACCCGATCCACTTATAAACTTACATCCCTAAATCTCCTAAGCCCGCGATTCTCATTCTTTCTCTTCTCTTGAACCTAGAAGATCAAGTCTGAAGATTTATCTTCCATTAGAATAACAAGAATTTAAAAAAAACAGATAATAAGAAGAAGGGACGAAATAAAAATCAAAATAATAGATAAAGAAGAATAGGTTTGAAGCTTATATTTTGAAGAACAATTATTCCTTCAAAGATACAACTTTTAGGTTTGAAGAGCTATAAAATTTGAGGAAAACAAAGAAAAAAAGCATGAATTAGGTCATCATTTTTGGATGATTGGGTTGATGAGGGAAGAGGAAATTAGGGTTCTACAAAGAGAAGATTTACATTCAAATATGTAATGGGTCGGATATTACCCGTTGGAGGGTCAAATTTTATTTTTAAAAATTGCTTAAAGATAAATTAGGCGCCCTACAAAGTTGTATCAACACGCGCAGGAGGGTAGAGCTCGGAAGGTTGAAAATAATTCACATCAAACATGTTAAGATGGGTATATAAATACCCGTGTAGTTCAAGTGCTAAAGCGAGTTTCCGTGCCAAGTTCAGGGGGAATTTGATGTATTTTCTCTATTTTATAAAATACTCAATATTAATAATTTTATACTAAATTTCATTCCTAGTTTGTTGTACAAACTTATAGAGTTACATGCATATCTTAAACAATTTTAATCCGAGTTTACTCTCTGAAGTCTCTTCTAATTACAAGTAGTAATAGTAGTTTTTGTATATAAATCAATGATTTTTTCGTTTTGTGTTCTCTTTTTTTTCTTCGAATTCATATTATTATATTTGTTGTCATTGCTTTTCACGAAATATTTTCACAAAAAATGACAATACAAACATACGAGTATTTTAGTAGATTTTTAGAACTTATTGGTATAAATAAATCATATTTTTTATAAAATAAAAATCAAATATATCTCCCAAAAAAAATCGATGGCCAAACACATGGCAACACTTCATCCAATAATGACTTGCCAAAATATTTGTAAATTTGTAGCCAAACACATGGCAAAACTACACCCATAAATAACTTGCCAAATATTTTTAGAAGCTTGTGATCAAACACATGGCAAAATTTTACCCTCAAAATATTTAATCAAACGCTAACCTAGCATTAGGTAAGTTAATCAATAATATTTTACCTATTTAAATTTAAACTTCATATCTCATTACGAATATCATATCAATTTCATTATTCTTCTATAACTTTTTTCATGAAAATGATTTCATTTAACTACAATATTAGGTTAGAAAGTTAATATTTCGTCCTAAAAAATTGAGATGCTTACAAATAGTCGTGATATTTCATATAAATGAAGTTGTTAATATGTCATATTTCAAAACTTGTTCATGCTTATACAAAAGCAAGTGAATTTGATGTTCATGATGGTAATGCTTTTTTCATCAAATGGTATTAGTTATAAGTAGTTATTGATAAATTTTTGGAATCTTGATATAATAGTATGTGAAAGTATTCAATTTATCATCGTTTATTTCAAAATTCTTAAGTATGTTGTTGATCTTGTGCACTTTGTTTCAAGCTAACAAGATCATTACTTTTATTTAGCATTATATTACGTTTTGTAAATCAATCGATAATTTCAAATATTTTGATGAAAATAATATTATTCACCTATCAAAATTACATTCTAATTTACTTGCTTTTTTGTATAAGCCTAAATGATGTTTTGAAAATGTGACATATTGATTATCTTCTATTAACGGGTGTTGGCGTCCTTTTATCTATATCCAGGTATGTATTTACTTTTTTGTTAACAACAACATTTCTTGGAATTATAATAATACCCACTTAGTTCGATATGTGAACTTTCACTTTGTTGATGAGGCCAGAGGCGGATCCAGGATTTGGAGATTGTGGGTGCCACATCGCCCAAGCAAGATAAACGGGTTGGTTCCTTTAACTTTGGGTTACAATTCATATTATTTGTCATATTCGATTTTCATAAAATAAATTGATTAAATGTGCATGTTAGTAATATTTTCTTTTAGTTATTCTAAGATTAGTGATAACTAAACAATTTTAAAAAAAATGAATTTAGTGATCTTATTCTGTAAAACTTTAAGGAAAAATAGATTTTCGACATCAAAAATTCAAATTTGTATAAACCATCTAATAGTGTTAAACTTAATATATTCATATTTCATTATATTTATGTGTTGTTGCATATATTATATACTAGAGAAAGAATCAAAATTTGTAACAACCCAACCGTCTTACTTATCAAGAACGTAAATATCGGAAGAACCTTAAAATTAAATGACCTCTAACATAATAATATTTATCATTTTTTAAAAAAACTTTTATTTTAAAAAAAACAATTTAAATATATTTGAAGTAATATTTATGTGACTTTCATAATATAATTAATAAAGAATACACACATAATACTCATATCATGAAATAAATAATCAGTGAAAGAGAAAAATTTTAACAAATAAGAGCTAATTACAGAAGAAAAGGAGTCAATTGAATTAATAAATAATATTACCGATTAAATAAGAACCAACGAAAATAAAGTAAAGAAATAGTTTGTGATCCAAAAAGTAATGTTGGCAATGTTAATCGAATCGGCACTGCGGGTGTGGAAATTTGTTTCTTCTGCTAACGGCACCCATCGCCACTTTATTCATTGGGTGGCAGAACTAATTTATAACGATTCTTAAACGTGCGCATATATATATATATATATATATATATATATATATATATGAAATTTTAACCGAGATCACTGAATATCGTGATGTCCCCACACATATATATTGATTCGCCCATCTAGCTATTCTCTACCTTGTAACTGTCTCATCTCAAATTTCTTCTTCCTCTATCTCCTATGTAATTAAAAAATTCATTATGATTAGTGGTGGTAAATGGACGGATTGAGTTAATAGTGAGCAGGTTAAAAATAGATATATAAAATGAGTAATCATTCAACCCGCTCATATTTGATATGGGTAATAAATGAGTTGAGTAAAATACTAATTTATCCATATTTTACTCATATTTTCATGAACAAATAGTACTTTACTTAAGATTTTGAAGAAGATATTTTAGTTATTTTTTAGATGAAAAATGTTGAACATGCTTCACTTAGTTTTATTGTATCATAAAAAAAAATCATATAGCTTTTTAATATAAAATAAATTTATGTAATAATAAGATGAAAATATTTATCATTTCAAAGTAAATGAATATTTGCATTTTAGAACTAAAACATGCTTAATGCATTTTAAGCACTGTCAAACTAATATACGATTTGCTTATTTTACACTATTATTAATATTTCAATACAATTAAATAAATAAATAAATAAAATATAATTATAATTTAACAAAAGAAATGTACATTTATATTATATATTTTTGGAAGATCAAATATTTCACCTTTTCAATTATAGAGAGGAATAGTTAGTTCTATAAAATAACATAAAAAGGGGAAAAAATTACACTAATTTTAGTAATATCATGAATTTTGAGTGAATAATAATTAGAAGTTTAATCCATTTGACTACTCATATTTTATCCATATTTTATCATAGTTTATCCATATTTTTATGGGTCAAATATGAATATCAATTACCTACATTTTACCCATAGTTTAATCCTATATTTTGGGTCAAATATGAGTATCAATTATCCGTTTTTATTCATGTGAAAAATCACACATCCAATCAATTAAAATATGGGCTCATTTTACCGACACTAATTATGATAAGAAAATCACTAAAAATAAGTATATCATTAGTCACATGAATTAATCACCTAATTAGAAAATTGGGTGAGTTAAAAGAGCGTGTATTAAGTTTATGTGAGGTTGTAACAAAAAAAAATTTGTGACTTCTTTGAGAGTAAAATAATGGTTATAGTTAATTGTTTGAGTTGATGTTTTAGCGTTAGTCCTTTAGATTATAGAGTTATAATTTGAAGTCAATTTTTGAAGTTAGTGAGAAGTTTATTAAAATCTTGCACGATGTAAACAGTAACGGATTCAACATTTTTATTAAGGGGTGTTGAAATAAAAAGTGAAAATGCATGTGTTGCTATCAAGGATAGAACACACAATCTCAATCAATTTTTGCACCTTTAACTACTACACTAAACAACCTTTTCTACTTGTGTCAAGAGGTGTAACACTTGTATATATATTAATTATATTTTGACCTATATATACAATGTAATTATTCGACGAAGCGACACTCCTTGTCCTAGGGTAGCTCCACCCCTGAGTCGTGGTTTTTCTTTATTCTCTTGAGCAAGGAAGCTTTCCTCGATAACATCTTTGTATTATTTTATGTTACAAAATTATGTTAAAGTACTACGAGAACTATGTTATTATATCGAATAGGTGATATATGTTTCTTTACTTTCATATCACCGAAAATATCGATTTAATCAACTTTTTTAAGTTATAATATTTTTATTTTGTAACTTACACAATCAAATAATAAATTTTTTTAAAAAAAAGGAGTAATAATTATTTTTTCTTATAAGATAGGAGTTCATGTTACCAATCAATTAAAGTACTTACGATTTCCTACAATCAAACATACATACAACCTTTTTAACTTATTTTCATTTTTCATTTTGAAGCTCTACTTTAGTCATATTTTTCTTTTAATTTTTTAATATTCTTTTGTACCATTTCAACATAAAACGCTAATTTCATGATTTTTAAATTTGTTATATATATGCTTCAATTATAATTTTGCATTTTAAAATTGTCTGTTACTTTTTATAAATAAAAAACAAAAAGATTATTGGTCAAACAATAAATATTTTGAAAATAATAATAATTTATGTGAGTCTCACTATATTTTTATATAAAAATAATTGATGAAAATGTGTCGATTGAATAATCAATTAAATAACACACCATATATTATGTTCATACTATCTAGATTTAACTCAAATACTGGCTTTCGAATTTTCAATTCAACTCAATAAGGATAAAAAGAACTCATTTCAATACGAGGTAAAAAAAGTTCTTGTTCATTGTTAATGACACTACTAAAAATGTTAAAACTCGGCAGATTTCGTTGGGTTGTAATTTATTTATTAAGAAAGAAGAAAATCGATGCACTTTCAACGATTACTTTTCACGCAAAAATATATAGAAATTCTAAAAAAGTTGTTATTTTAAAAAATAAATATTCGTTTATCAATTTTAATTTTTTTTACGAAAACAAATGGGCAAACATTAATTTCTAAAATGTAAAATAGTAGTCGAAGAATATATAAAATATATATACATATTTATATTTCACGTGGATTCGTAAAATACAATGAATTATATTAATAAATATTTATTTATTTATTAATATAATATAATAAATTTATAAACTTATTTTTTTAATCTGCTCCCTCATTCATGTATTTGTCTAATTATCTTCTCTTGCAAAGTATTGAGTTGAAATAAAAAGTTATAAAGCTTATTTTGGTACATATATGTAGTTGTTTTTTATTTGGTGATATATATGTACCTAAATAAAGTTCATTAACAAACAAATTTTATTTTCCAATTTGGTAAGATAATATAATTGTACGAATATTCTGTTGAAAAAGAAAAGAGTAGCAAAAATAAGTTCATAAATCTATTACATTTAGATTTATTAGACAAATAAATCAACTTATATTTATTTAAATATAATTTATTGTGTTTGATGAATCCACGTGAATTATATAAATATTTTATTGATCTTTCATTATTTTCATTTTTTTTGTAATAGAATGCAACTGAAATTCATTAACTTACGTGTAAAAATAATAAGTCATACACCTTTTATTGATTATACTTTTTCGGTTTAAAATTACAAAGCAAATAGCTGGTTTCTATGTAAATAATAAATAAACACAATTGGATAGAACTAATCACAATTCTATTTTTATTTTGTGTATAATACTTTTGTTTCTTACATGGACTCAATTGGTGTAATACAAAAATAAAGCGAGAGCAACATTTTGAACTTTTTATTTTAGAAAAAAACAGTTTATTTAAATCTAATATATTATTTATGTATATTAAATAAATTTTTAACACAAATATAATATTTCAATTAAAATAAAATAAAACGTTGTTAAATCCGTAATTAGAGTTATAACACCAAACAAATGTGCTTAACCGATTTTAACGGGAGACTTGCATCGTGTGAATGTGTTTACATTGAGTGCTAAAAATAAGAAATTATTAGACAATGAAATATGTCTTTTGATAATAGTGGTATTTAAGTCGGTTAATTAATTTACTGAGTATATGTAACTTCATACCAACAACAAGTATTAGATGACTCTATTTACAAGGCTAAAAAATGGGTACAAATAACAGATTGCATGATTTTTAATCCACTTTATTTGATCAATAAGTCATATTCTTGAATATATATATATATATATATATATGGTGAGCAAGTCAATTTTTTGTGTATCTTAACTAATATCACGTGATACATAGTAATTTTTAATCACTTTGTTATGACTAGGTCACATTCTTAAATGTCATATAATAAAATTTTATAACTAAATAAAAAGAATAACTTATATGCTTTTAAGTGTGAGAAAGTTACTAATAATAATTGAAATATCTTATTAAGTAATTTGTGTCATTAATAATTTTACTCTTTCTTTTACAAATATATTTAGTTATACCTAAAACTCATAGAGAGCATAAGTGTGATATTTTTAATATATAAATGGTGCAAGTGTTTATATTTTAAAATACAAGAAATGTATTCATAAATTCGATTATATTACACGAATAGTTAATTTTTATAAATATTTAATCTCATGGAATACCTTTAGTCAAAGATAAGTTGAGACTTTGATTTGGTTTCTATAAATATTGTTAGAAGATTTTGATATTTTAACTAATATTCCTTCCAATTACATTTCATTTACTAATCATGACCTAGTAATCCAAAAGTAAGAAAATTATATTTGCGAAAAATTTAGAAAAAAATTGGTAATTAGTGTTTGATCTAT